AAAAAATACTTTTTATATAATCAAATTGATCCAGCAGTATCTCAAGATATGAGTAAGATACGTAACAAAATACAATTAAAATATTGGAGCATCAAAAAACATCAGACGAAGATAACAGGCTATACGCAATGTATGGATAATAATGTTCGTGTGCAAAATGTGTACTATATTGGTGAATGCATATTATTATAGAATAGTAAAATAATATCTTTTATTTCTCTCCATTTAACGACCACTCTTTATAACGCCGAAAAATGTTGAGTCTCTTAAGTGTCGTTATATAGAGTTTACACTGTATTTGCAATTGAGGAGAAGCTATGTATATTATTATAGTATCAATTATCTATTGAACAAGTGGTGTACTTAAATGTTTATAATGATATGATATATTACAATTTTCCAATCTCACATCAATTCTATCAACCACGTGATTCGACCAGTGACGTCAAGAGAATAATTTAGTTATTTGGATATGATAGTCATTTTCGTTCATTTTTTTTTTAAGATATTCATTAAATGCTTTCTGTTTTTTGATCGAATTGCAATAGTATTTGTGTTTCAAGTGATAGATGTATTATGAGATAAGCTAGGTAAGTGTTCAACAAAAGACTAGCACTTATTTTCCACTTTTGTAGTTCCGGAACATGGAGAAGAAATATAAAAGAAAAACTTTCACCCTAATTTATCGCCTAATTTACTATTGGACATACGAAACTTTCGAACTCCTTTGTTCCCATGGTTCATCATATCGTTTTATGAGTCATTTTTCAATAAAAGTGCTCTCGGTGAATGAAGTTCGTTTTTTGGAGCTCGTGTCTGTGAGATAATCTTTCCGATGGGGCATAATAACAATGGTTATTTAGAATATCGTTCGGAGGGGCGTTACGCGTCCAAGAAGGGGTAAAATAGATGACACGTGAACACTGAACTTCCATAAAAGTAACTCAAATCTTTTGGCATAAGTTTTGCACTATATCAAAGTAAAAAACAAGTTGTGTGATTTAGTGAGATACCCGATAGGTACTAAGTTTTTGATGCTACAATACCCTATAACAGGGTTGGCGAACCTTTACGTATTGACGTGCCATTTTTATAAAGAAAAGTCTAATCAGGTCAAAGACGTGCCATCAAATAATTTTGTCTCTGTGATTATTGGGAAAATAATAATAATAT